CATTAAAATGGTGAATTTTATTCAAGGACTTTAAAGGTCTGTGATCTTTGAAAGGGTGAAGGCTAACAATGATATCAGAATCTTCCTGTGCTCTTTGGAAATCAAATGCTGGATTATATACTGGTGGGAATTTCTAAATGCGAAATGACTTCCTTTTTCACACCTGGAAATCTCAGCTGTCCGCGCCCCAGCAACTCTATGGGTTGAGGGCTGCCAGACCTCTGAAGTCAGTCACCACACCTTCTCATTGAGCAGTCTGAGGCCACACTTTAGAGGCCTAGCTCTGGAATGATTATGGTAGCGGACTCTCCCGGGCCCTCTTGAATCCACAGTGGGTGTCATGTGACCTTCCAGTGCTATTGTTTGGGTCTTAAAGTAGACAGGAAAAAGGTAAACAATTACGCAACTCCTTATAGTCATTGTGAGTTCAGGCAGGGCAACTTCACAGTCTCAGGTCCCAATGTCAAGCACCCACTATACATTTAAGTAGCAAAAGATAATGACCACTGCAGCAATGCACTCCTCTGGATTTTACTGGTTGGGGTGAACTGCCAGTGGTACTGGGTTTTCATATACAGCAACAACCAACATATTTGTGCTCAGACTTGCAGTGATGTCAACCCACTGAGACACCTGTGAACCCGGGGAAAAGCTGGAGACAAGGCAGAAGCCTGTAAGTCCCCTGAAAACAACAGCCAGAACCTCCATGCAGCCCTCCTTAGAAACAAAGCAAACCAGATATGGAGGAAACTCTTGTGTCCTGACCTCTCCAGAAACCTTTTCTTGTGTTTTGGAGGTTTCCATCAGAGAGCGAGGTGGGGAGGAGTGCATGCCTCAGAATGCAGCTCAGGACGGGAAGAGGCTGCTGGTTTGGCAGGAGGTGGCAACCCCAGCTTCTATAGAAACATGGTTTGTGTTACGTGCACATGATAGAGAACAGCAAAATCCCGTTTTACTAGTACATCTGGGGGCCGCGTGGGTGAAAAGCACCCACCCAAAACTACGCTTGCCCCAGACAGTTGCACTGATAGAGCAGACAACAATAAAGAGCTATCAACGAGAAGAGGGCCATAGCCTACATAAGGCCACACCAAGTCCTACACGTGGTGACAGCTCCTGGTGACATCTTTTATACCAAATCAAGGTGCACTGACAACCAGGATTCATGAGGAAAGGGCTGAAGTCCCTCCAGGATGTTCTGTGCACTAAGGCAGGGGAATGTGCCATACGTCTTAGAAAGATTTCCCTCCAAAAAAAAATATTAAAATTGTAAAGAGTCAGTCCTTAAAGAGTTACTTCTTGGTGATCTGAACCCCTGTTTACATACCTCGTTTGCATCAAAGCTAGTCAATGAGGCAATTTTTATAGTCATTAGTATCAAATTATTGGCACCATTCAGTTGTAGGGATAGGGAGAGAGCAAACTCTACAATACAACATAAAAATACAGTTCTGATACAAAGATACAAGATCAGTTCCATTGAACAAGCAGTCATAAGAAATGGAGGTGGACAGTTTACACACAAGGGAGCACAGCTAGTGTTCAGCTTTGCTAGCAGTTCAAATAAGACAGCTTTCCAAGAATAACTATACACATCTATTAAACTAGCAAAAAATAAATTAGAATGGCAAAACCCAGTATAGGCAGAGCAATTGATAAATAGAAATGCTTGCACATTGCTGGTGGCATCATAAATTGTAGAGGGGATTCAAGCATTCAGAGGAGGGGAATTTTAAATGAGATGACCTTTAAGGTCCTTCCAATCCAAAGATTGGATCTTTCTAGAAAGCGATCTGGCAATATAAAACAAGAGCTATAAAATACTTCATGCTCTCTGACCTTGTAATCCCTCTTTGGAGATATTCCAAAGGGAATAATCCAAGAGAAGGATTTTATATATATGTATATATTTATTTATTTATGTGTTTTTACAAAGACATTCATAGCAGCAGTATTTATAAGAGTGAAAATTTGCATATAACTCAAATATCTAATGATGGGGAGAAGTGAGGTTAACCATGTTGTGTGGATATAAAGACATTTAAATCAGTGAGAGCAGGATCTGTCTAATAAGGATTTGTGTCAGGTGGAAATATAACAAAAGGAATGTTCTCGCTGAGCACAGCTGTGTAAAAACGGAGCATATCAGGGAGAATCAGGAAGAACTTCAGAGAGCTAGCTGTGGGGAGGGGCTCCTTAATTCCTGCAAAGGTACTCAAGTGAATAATAAAAATTTAAAAATGCAATTCATGAAAATTAATATATAAAAAGGGAGCTAAGTTTCTTCTGGGCAAGGTTCTGTCAACATGGTTAGAGTGGATAGAATTTAGAAATAATTTCTGTTTATGGAAAAGTCAAATGAGTCTTTCTGACACTGAGTCATCTTGACCTTGTCAGGATTTGTAGACAACATGATGAGCATTTTCTATGTGGGGCTCAAAGATAAACTCCTTTTATCCCAAATCATGCCGTATGCAACGAGTTCACACATTCAGTCGTATTTCAGGATAAGCTGAAGGGTTTTCGGTTATAGTGATGTGGAACCTTTTTTCCATTCATCTATTCGTGTCTGAATAAAAATAAATGATTTTTATAAGATCTGTATATTTATCAGTGTAAATGGAAAAACCAGCAGTAAAGAATTATTCTCTCATTAAAAATGATCCATTTAACAAACAGCCAAAGCTTGGTGCAAGTTTCGATCATAAAAAAGTCACGTCGTTGAGAGTATGAGCGGAGGAATCTGTGCTGCTTTAGCCCCTGGGGTTGCTAGCAGATACACACAGGTACCGCTCAACAGAAATCCCCTTTCTTCTAGAAACTTCCTACCAAACCCTGTCTCCACCTCATTGAGCAATAGAAAAACCTCTCGTGCTCAGGAGACAGAAAATAACTTTTCCAACAAAGTCAAGCTGGAAGCTGGCTTCCGCTAACCCTGGAGACCTGGGCGAACAGAGCACACTTCTGTACGTCATCGCGCCACAGTGAGCACGCTGAACCCGAGGAAAGGAAGCGAACAAAGGCACCGTGCCATCTCCAGGCATCAAGGGCGGAGTTTCACAGTTCGGTCATCAGCAGTCTTTTCATCATTTTCTCTCTTTCCAGTTCTTGCCGGAGCGTCTCTGCACTGAGAAACAGCAAGGGGCCAAGCGGTCAGACAAAGGCTCAAAATGGCAGACATTGGACTTTCCTTCGTAGGCTCTATTGGGATGCCTTCCATTGGCTAGCGTTACAGTAAGCCAAAACTATCTGGTTACCGCGGGGTTTCCTCACCTCTGGGGGAGGGAGGGTCCTTGAGGGGCTCATTTTACATCATTCATCTCTTCCATCTCCCAGCTGAGTGTGGGAATCTGCTTGAATGAATGAGAAGGTATCCTGTGGCTGGATTTTGTACTTTAAAAAAAAAAATTAACTTATTTAGGTATGGGAGGTCGGGAGCATCAAAAACTGGCTGCTTTGAAAGACTGCTTCTGATGTCTTGGTCCTCAGGTCAGAATGTCCCTGATAGGCTCAAGTATTTGAACACTTGGTCCCCCGTTGGGAAGGTTTAGGAAGTGCAGCCTCGCTGGAGGAAGTGTGTGTGTCACTATTACCAGGGACAAGCTTTGAGAGGCACAGGCTCACCCTACTGCCACTTCCCTCTCTGGTTCTGGAGCCACAGTTAAAGAAGTGAGCTCTCAGCATTCTGCTTCTGCCGTCCTGTCTCTGCCCTGCCACGATGAACTCTTATTCATCTGGAATCATAAGCCAGAATAAGCTCTCTCTGTCTTAAGTTGCCTTTAGTTAGGATGCTTTATGATAGCAACAGAAAGATAACTAAGATACCCATGGACCTTGTTTCTACTGTTTAAATAAATAACATATATAGGCAGTTGTGTAAAGGTGTGTGTGTGTGTGTGTGTGTGTGTGTGTGTGTGTGCTTTGCTTGGTTGGAACCTAGAGTTTCACGCCTCTTAGACAAACATTCTGGCACTGAACTACCTCACAGCCCTGATGTATAGTCTCTTCATTCACCTATTCAAAATCATGAATACCTCTTCCTTTCCCCTATCTCTCTTGCTCTCCCTTTTAAGACAGGGCTGCCAGCCAGGCAGTGGTGGCACACACCTTTAAACCCAGCATTTGGGAAGCAGAGGCAGGTGGATCTCTGTGATTCTGAGGTCAATCTGGTCTACAGAGTGAGTTACAGGATAGCCAAGGGTACAGAGAAACCCTGTCTCAAAACAACAACAACAACAAGAAGACAAGGTTTTCTCAAACTTGTAGCCTCAGACAATTCTAGCTCTGACTCCCAAGTTGTTGGAATTACAGGCGTGTTCTGTATGGAACCTACAAGGTATACACTTTTTAAAGATCTATTTTTACTTATTTAGTGTGTGTGTGTGTGTGTGTGTGTGTGTGTGTGTGTGTGTGCCACATGTGTACAGGTGTCCAAAGCGGCCAGTAGAGAGCCCCAGATCCCCTGGAGCTGGAATGAAAGGCTGTTGTGAGCTACCCAAGGTGAATGCTGAGAGCAGAACTCAGGTGCTCTAGAAGGACAGCAAGCACTCTTAACTGCTGAGCCCTTCCTCCAGCCACCAAAATGTGTATTTTTAAAGGCAAACATAAACTTTAATAATCTTTCTTGGGATGGAAGTTTAATAATTTAATATCTTACTCAGACACGGCCAACAAGGCTTTACACAATCTGGCCCCAGTGTACAGCTTCCATGGGTTACTGCTGTCATCTACCTTGTACCCTACCGAGGAAGACTCTAAACCACCCTTCTAGCTTCTCTCGCTCTGAGTTGATTAAAGATTTAATTTTGAAGGCCCCACCACTGGGCAATAGTTACCAGCGTGTCGCCGCCCTGGCTGTGGATAACATGTCCGACTAGTGGGCTGTGGTGATGGTGGTAGTCAAGGCTACCTTTCAAGGACAAGAGGACCTGGTCTGGGTTGGATGTGTGTAAGATGTCTGTCTTGTAAGCATGATGACCCAAGTCCCATCCCCAAGTAAAAATATCAGATGTGGCACAGGGCACTGTGGAGGTAGGGACAGAAGGACAGAAGGACCCCTGAAGCTCCCTGGCCAGCCAGCCTGGCCTAATTATTAGTGAGTACCAGGCCAGTGAGAGACCTTGTTGTGAAGAGGTGGATGATGTTCCTGAGGATGATGCCCAAAGCTATCCACTGGCCTCCACACACATGTGTACACACTTGCAACCTGTGCATGCGTGTGTGTGTGTGCGCGTGCGCGCGCACACACACACACACACACACACACATCTCTTTTGGTGGAAACACTGGCTTTATTTGGGCCTGAAGATAGCCGCTGGGCCCTGGCACAGGCAAGAAAGCCTGTTATCTCTGTTTCCTTTGCTGCCTTAACTCTGGGGCCGGCATCTGCTCCACTCTGCACACGGGTCACTGCAGACGTGTTTTGTCCAGAACTATAATAGAGGGCTGACTTGACCTAGATTTGCCTAGTCTCTTCCTGACTTTAAAGCTAAAAATACCTGCTTGCCCCCATAGCTGGAAATACAGGTCACAAAAGGAACACAGATATCTGGAAACACCCTGTCTGTTCCCAGAAAAGACATAACTGTCTCTCCCCTTTATCTACAAGTCTCTCTCCTCACTACTGTCCGGGGCCTCTAACTCCTCAGTTCTCCAGAGCCAAGAGTCTACTTTGTGGCAGTTCCGCTATTCCTCCATTCTTTCTTCTCCCTTCACTGTCTCCTGAGTCACAGTGACAGCAGAATCTAAGCTTCTCTCATAACCACACTGGCCCCTTAATCTCTCTTTCTCATGTCAGGTGTGCCCAAGTCCAGCAACCCAGGACTGACTGGCGAGTCCCTCTGCCAAGCCTACTCTTCTCCAACTATCTGCAGTTTGCTTCCAACCACCTTCGGGTGTCAGTTCGATGAAGTCATCCCAACTTGTCCTATTGCCTTTACCATCTCAATTTACTCCTTGCCCCTGACATCACACACACACACACACACACACACACACACACACTGACTTGTTTGTCTGCTTCCCTTATTCCCATGTACAAAAGTGTAAACCCCAGAAGGGCAGGACTTTATCTGTTTGGTTCACTGTCCAACCATACCACTAGAACACAGGGTACCACTTGGAGACTTACAGGCTAAATGAACGGAAGAATGAATGGGAGGGGCTAGGAAGATGGCTCAGTCAGCAAAAGGCTTGCCTTTGAGGGATGAGGACCCGAGTTCAAATCTCTAGCTCCCAAATAAAGCCTGACTTGGTGATATGTGTGTATCTGTAATCCCAGAGATAGGGAAGTAGAGACAAGCAGATTCCTAGAGCTCATTAGCCAACCAGTCTAACTGAATTCACGGCCTCTAGCTTTAATGAGACTTTGTCTCAAAAAATAAGATAGAAAGCGATTGATCATGATGCCACCCAATGCTGACCTTTGGCCTCCATATATACAGACATACATGTACATGTGCACTCTCACATACATGTGCACACATTCACACGAACATGTATGTACATACACCATACACATCCACACGCACACAGACAAGGTGAGGTGAGCTAGAGTCTAGGTCTGACTCTCTGTTTCCAGGATACCTGTGGGTACCCACTTACGTGACTCACCTGGCAGCCAGAGAGACAGGCTTCCGGGAGGTGTAGATGGTCTGAACTGTGGACACGGTCTCTGTCAGTGGCCGCAGGGTCGCGGTGGGAATCAACGGAGAAGACTGGCCAGGGCAGCACTGCAATTTGTTCTCTCTAAAGTCTGCCTGGAGAGGAAACAGACAAGAAAGATCAGTCTCCAGGCCCACCCGCACGCTGTCAGCGGCTCCGCTGGCCTCGCTGCGCTGCTCTTGTTATCTTAATAATAGCTAAAGTCATCACACCCTTTCAAATTATCTTAAACGATCTTGCTCGGTGCCAGACCCCAGGCTAAGCACCTTCCATACATTATCTCTTGACAACCTGTAAGACAGAGATCATCTATCACCGCATCTCAGAAAGCATCCTTCGGAAGATGCATCGCTTCTGTGTGCACCACGGGAAAAGCTAAAACATGGCACTCAGACATGGTTATGTTATATTGTGTAGTAAACGTTGTGATTGCAGGAGTGATGGGTCAGTGGTTAAGCACATTTGCTGCTCCTGTGGAGGACCTGGGTTCAAGTCCCAGTTGCTCTGGAGTTACAAATGGTTGTGAACTACAATGTGACTGCTAGGAGCCAATCCTAGGTCCTCTGCAAGACCAGCCAGTATCTCTCCAGTCACTTCTTTTTAAAAAAAATACACACACACACACACACACACGGTATTATCGAAAAGATTGTGTGTGTGTGTGTGTGTGTGTGTGTGTGCATATATACTTGATTTATTTTGATGCTGGTTCTTGGCTCTGAATTTTGAGACATATATCACCCAGCTTTCTAAAGAGGCTCTGATCTTTGAGTGCACAGTTCCCTTCTTGGTGATGGCACAGAAGAGGAGCTGTCTTTAAAAGTCTGCTGCAAAGAAGCACAAAGCCCTGTTTGTGTCTTATGTCTCCTCCTAAGAGGGAGACTAACTTGTCTGAAACAGAGACACACCGAGGAATGACTGCTGTTAGGTCTCCATCAAAGCATCCCTTTGGAGAAGCAGCTCCCCACGCCAGTGCGTCGCATGTACAGGCGCGCACATGCGTGTCTAGCAGGTGAGGCTTGCTACAGAGAACTGTGTCCAGGTGACCCTCGCTTCTGCTGTTTGTCAGGTCACTTGGGCTCACCACTTTCCAGGCACACAGGAGGATGGAACCTCACTGCCTTTCTCAAGTCAGGGGTGGCTGTGGGCTTTGCTGTGCTCAGTGAAGTAAGGGATGCCGTTGTGTTTCCTTCCACCGGAAACTTTAAGGACCGAGTATGTGACTTGCTCCTCTCTTTAGGCCACTGTGACTGGTGCTGCTCCACACAGCAGGCAGCAGGACCATAAGCCCGGGGCAGCACAGAGCAGAGCC